AAATATTGAACTGGCTGAGAAGCTGTCATCTGGAATTCTACCACCGCTGGCCAAGCCAATTGCCTGTGAATCACATGCTGCAATGTAACAATTTTGAAGTTAACCTTCACATCTTCCCATATTACATGTATGTTGTTCAGTGTAATTAATTGAATACACTTCTAAACATCTGTAGGATATTATTCCAAAATATAGAAAAAATAGTCATGGAAAAAGTCAGAGAAAAATAGCAATGGAAAAATGAAGCCATAGCTGTTGGCAAAATAACCAAAGGAATGCTGGAAACAGCTTTCATGGAATGATGGGCTGTGCTGCTCCAATAACGTGATTGCCCAGAATCGACCCCTAACTTTTCTGACCTTAAGGAACCCCATGAATCCCTGTAATAATATTATCTAGGAAAGTTTGTGGTAATTTGGAATTTTTCTTCCTATCCTCAGCTCATAACCCTACAGGCCCTGACAATAAAACTATCCACCTATGTATATGAAGCAGAAATTGGAGCATCCTGTCACCTGGAATTGCTTAATTAATTGATAAGAATAAGAGGCTTATCACAATGGCTGTATTGTTTTCCTCGAGCGCTCACAGAGTGGTTTCTATCATAAAGCTACTTATCCAAATAACAATCATTAAGAAAATAACAAAACCACTAGGTTTGGAATCTTTGTTCATAGATTAACAAATGCAAGGATCACATCACATAATGGTTTTTAGACTTACTTGGCTTCTGCTGCACCCCAAACACCTCTGTTCTCATGCACACCTCACCCTGGTGTGTTTGTGGCAGAAATCGCAAATATCTTGTTAACACTCCATATAGAACATGTTTGACATTTGAGTTTCTATCCTTATTTCCCTCTAAAACCTTGGGAAAATAATCATAACTCATCATGGAGTTCCAGGTGGATTGTATAATGTAACTATTGTAACTCTTGACCTTGGTTAAAGTAATCATCATTACTTTACCTCCTGTTTTAGGACACGAAAAACAAGAAAAATATAAATGTAGGTGTAGGAATAAGGCCCAACATTTATGGAAAAGGTCCACATGGACAGGGTTACTAAGCATACATGAATAAATCATAATTTGACAACTGGATTATAAGAAATAGCACACTGACCCTCAAAGGTGAACCCTATCTAATTTCTGCGACTGCAGTTTACCTGTGACAGTTATTTTATCACTTGTGGGATGGAGAGCAGCAATCTCTCAGTAATTAGAAACCATTTGTTCTGCGCACATTTGACGAGCTATTTCACACCGAAAATATTTGGTGGAAAACGTTGTTTAAAACAATTTGTTAGATTCCCTGTCCATTTCTCCCTAGTACTCTTTCCGCAACCTTGACTGCAAATTTAGGCATGCAAAATATTATTTGCTGAATGAAAAAAAATTTACTCAAAATTCATGATATTTGCTGGGCATGAGGAGAATATTTGTTGAATTTTTATTGTACAAATAATCCTCTGCATATACCTGTAACTCTTTTGGCGGCCAATTTGTTATAAATGCGTCAATATTATCAAAACTCAGGGACGGTGATTGAGGCAACATAGAGTATAATTCTCAAACAGCCCATGTGGCATACCTTAACCTGTCCAACTAATTCCTTATAGTTTGTCCAAGTTATCCCATCTGTGGATAATTGTAGAGTATAGGTCTTTACCCACTGATCTGCTTGAGAATTCCCTTGAGTGGACACAGCACAGATGATATGAAGCATCTGTAGATCAATCTGTAGATATGGGTTAGTGTCACTTGTTGCTGCACACCATGATGATCCTGATGTGTAGTTCAGGCGACTATTCTTGGCAGGTGTGTTGGCACTTTGTTCAGTAGAAGCAGTTAATCTATTGTCTGGAATTGCTCCATTTTCCATTCCAAGGTCAAAATCAACACAAGCCCCTACAGAAACAGAATTTACTCCTGCATTATAACACTGTTTTAGTGATTATAGTAACATGGATAATGATTGGATGTGAGAAACATATGCATGTCTTGAATCTCCCTATAAGGTATGTCTCATGCAAAGTCCGTGTCACAAATAGTAACAATTAGAGCTCGTCTGCCTCTGAAGATATTTATCAATTTATTGAGGTGTTTATTTTTAAAGAAAATGAGGAAAGATTTAAGGTTCCAAAAACTGTTGCGCTGCATCAAAGGCATTACAGCAAGATATAAATAAAGGAAAATAAATTGCTGCAGCGAATTTGAGAAACCTGGGTCACTGACCCTTTTTTGGAGCAAAGAGAAGTTGATTTTCAGTGGAAATGTATAATTTTGGGGGCTCAAGGAAAAAATGTGCAGACTAATCCAAATTTAAAGCTTTTCAATTGATAGAAAAGGTGGAATAAATTCCCAAGTGCTTTAACCTGAAATTGAAGCGGAAGTTACCACCTGATTTCTTCGTTGAAACACAACAGTTTTAGAATCGTCACTCTGTATTTCTGATTGATGAATAATTCAGTTTAATTTCACTTTCGTATAATTCTCCATACTTCCAAATTGAGCTTGATGTAATCGCAAATAGATTTTTAACTGTACCATTCTTTTTAAGATAACATTAATTAAAAAAAAAGACGATGCTGTCCGTATCAAGGATTCACGGCGACCGTGAGAGAAAGCCTAAGGCTACAGCACTCATAACTAAAAGAAATCTCCAACCAAGTACCCTAAACGTATACTGTAAAATAAAATAAACCTTTCTAATAGATTTAAAATGATATGGTGCTCACCTGAAGCCAGTGAAAGAAGTACAGCGAGAAACGCTACCCGGAAACAAAGATTACATTGCGCCATGTTTTGATTGAGTGTGTCACGGTATGCATGTATCACGATGGTTTCGCTTGATTAGTCTTTTGTAACAGAAAGCTCATCCGAAAAAAGATTGTCTCCTCGGTATTCGAACTTAGCTTTCTACGATTTATGGCAATATCGTCCGCGGTTCCAACAAAACAATCAGACTCTTCGTAGGACGAGTAACTCGTCCCCTAACAAGATGACAGAAGCTTGAAATTTGTTAATATTTCCCACAATGCCGTGGGCTGTAGCTCATATTTCAGCTGATTTCAATTCATACCTCGGCGATATGGGCGGCCTTCACCACAAAAAAAACAAGGATGTCAAATAGGTCAGTAAATACAAAGCTGGTCTATGGATCAGCTGCAGGATAGCATAACGTTGCGTATAGCGTTGCGTAAATGACTGACGGTAATGTCGAATCGCACAACGTACACACAAACGGTGAGATGGCTCAGCGTAATGTCGAATAGCACAGCATATATTCAAACAGTGTAGCGTTGCGTGAAATGGCTCAGCGTAGTGTCGAATGATACGGCGTACACACAAATGGTGTAGCGTTACGTCGAATACCTTTGCAGACCATCAGACGCTCTAGATGAACATTAGAGTGCTTAGCATTACATTTCGATGTTGTGGCGAATCGTCGAGCCTGCTTAAGGCGTGACGTGAAGGCTATTTCACCGAAATCACCAAAAATACAAACCGCAAATGGAACAGCTATCTGCCGAGGGGCAGGACGTCATCGAATGTAAAGATTGACACAAAACCACTACATGGTGTAATCGCTGTGTTGAAGAGTCTTCACTTCGCCTTGCCTTAAAGCAGAGCCAATTCGTGGCTTTTCGGTAGGTTTGCCCTCTTTTTTCTCCTGCCCATATTGCATTTATTCGTTGTCGTTCACGAAAGCGTTAGTTGAAATAGCAACGAGACTGAATTCTACTACGGTTTGCCGGCCTCCCGGTTTACCTCAGTTAGCACGCGTCGGTTAGCCTGAATGTTTTAAAGTATTAACTAGTATTATGACGAGCATTAAACGTCGATTGTCGAGAAGTTGGATTCTGTGTGTGCCTCTATGTACAGAGTTGGACGCCATGGTAAGAAAACTGATGATCTCCTTGATCTGTTTTAATATTTTTCAATCAAAGTGATATCGGAATGCTCTAATTGGTGTGCCGAACGATAAGAGTAAGCTAAGAGAAGACTGTTTATATTTATTACTTCAAAGAGGTGTAAATTATATCACTTTGTTTATTTATCTCTGTTTTATGTCTGACGCGAAATGAATTACGAAACTCCTAGAGCCCGATACTAGAGGGTGAGTGTTGCAACACAAATACAAACACAATACTAAAAATAAGAAGAGGAGCTCGGTGACAAGGATGGAGAAAGGAAAATTGTCTTTAGTGCGAGAGCTGCCAAAAAAAATCTAATTTTAATCAGATTTCTTGAAAAAAGTTTTTCAGTAATTATTTTCAAAACCTTATCAGAGTTTCAAATGCAGCAATAATCAGACAAACTCCACATTAGGTCATAACCTTCAAACTTGCTTACATACAACAATAGAGTTTCCATCCATCAATTATTCTGAAAAAAAGAGCATAACTAATGTTCTTCTGTGATAATAATTAGCAAGCAATGGTCAATAGTAATAAGAAAACAGAAAAACTGGATCTAGCTTGGTATTCTCCGACCAGATGTGATCTTAAATGCAAGAATAGATTGCACAATCATATTTCAGAGATAATGCAATGTCTTGAAGTATCATAGGCTAAAGGATCGTCACAATACAAATTAGGCCCAGTTGTATGAAGGGTGGATAACATTTTCCAACGAATAGATCGCTATCCAGCGGATGTGATAGCAAAACGTCACGTAATTGGCTATCCACCGTATAGAGATTTATCCACTGGATAGTGTTATCCAACCTTCAGACAGCCATGGCTTGGTAAATATTCTCCATTAAAGGTAAACAGTTCGAATTAAAAAAAGTCATACGCGAGGTTTCCTACAGCAGTGCTACTGACGTCAAGCGCACATGCAAAGTCCTATATCTAAAGTACCCTATCAAAAGTAAAAAAATCAAATAAAATCAAACAAAATACAATGAAACAAAAAATGGCTTCGTAAGGACGACCGTGCGTCTCTCCCAAGAACGGCATTTCTCTTAAAGCTGCGTTGCGGGCACAACACAAGGCCACGATTGAAGGTGGGCAGGTAGATGCGCGGTGAATGTTTACGGAAGTGAAGCTCCGCTACAAGCCTGGTTAAAACTGTACGTTAAACGGGTGCTTTTTGATGATGAAGGTCTGGTTTTCGAAAAAGAAAAAAAAATTATATTAAATACTAGACAGTGAAATGCCATTGCACACAAAAAGGTACTCAATTAAATGAGACATGGAGTATCGGACTCGGACACATCTTTTCATGAGGACCTTTCATTCCACAATGTGGAGCAATCATGTTCCATTAAATAAGTACTAACCTTGGAAAAATATTTTCCAACCATGTTCTATACTTCTAAAATACTCCGTTATTTAAAATCTGTTATCCCGTGAAAATAGTCTAAACTTTATCCATAAATACTGTACAAGGTACAGATACGAAGCATTTTACTGTCTCGACTGCTCCGGAGAAACTAAGGAGTAAACAAAATATTCTGGAAACGTTCCTTAGGTCCAGATAACTACTAAATAATGGGGTTTTCGAGAATTCAGTCTTCTCTTTTGGTATCCGATCTGAGTCAGCATCCCAGCTTATGAAGATCTCCATCAAAGGTAGACTTCAATAACGGATATCACACACGAAACTGAAACAACACGTTTATTGTACCTTTTATTGGCTCGTTCTCATTCTTTTGGGTAGCCAAAAATGCTGCATTAACCATGAAACACTTCCTCACTTCAATGATACCACTTTCTTACTTAATCGATGGAGAGTTGTTCCTGATAAATTCAGACGAAGTCTGACTGAAAGGCTGAGCTCAAAGGGAGAAAGATATGCAGCCAAAACCGTCTTCCTGTTGTAAAGGTGGTCCAGAACTTCTATCTGTTTCAGATAAAATGGTGTTAAGATCATGTGCTTAAATGTTCGTTTGCAAGTGAAACTTAACAAGAGAAAGTGAAATCGAATCAATCTGCATAATGGATTCATAAAGATCCCACTGCATAGCAGGGATGATATATTCTGCAGATCACTCAATAACACAAACAAACAAACAAACAAACAAAATAAGGTAATGAAATAAGATACCGTAAAATAATGAGAGTGCAATTAAGAGCAGGAAAGCCTATTTAAAATTGCGGCCACAAGGAGAGGCACTTATTGGAAGGAGGACATTTCTTAAGAAACTACCACCTATACTTAATCCGCTGTCGTTGAAGCTAACGGTAAAGTTGTAATAGAAATAAGTTTTCCTTTTATCCCTTCGATATAATTAAGAAAGTCAGGAGGAAGTGGAGTGCATATTGGGAAGAGGCGCTTGTTTGATATCATGGCCTTGGGGGTGGGTGATTATTCGGGGGAAGGGAAGAGGTGCTTATTTGAGGAAATACGGCGATCATAACTCTAAATCAATGAGGACAAAACAAAAATACGTATTGCATCGTCAGACAACGAGGCATCCAAGAATCGGTGAGTTTGGACTTTGGTCATGTGGTGGTGCTGAGAATACATAGCTAACTGTCATATGCCAGAATATTTTTTTACATCTTGCCTAGCTCTTTCAAGACTTGGAGATCCCTTGTCAAAATTAATCGTTATAAAATCATACTCAACGAAAGAATCTAAGTAATTGAATATCACTTAAAATTTAGAGATATAGGAAAGGGAACACAAATTCAAATCGGCATAGAAATACTCTAGCCAATAACAGCGCATAAAACAACTCAATAAATAATTTACACAAGTTAAAGAGTAAAATATTAAGAAAAAATTTATAACCATGGCAAATAAGGTTTACTGAAGGAAAAAACGTAGTTAGAAATTGGAGACCATTGGTTACCCTTGAGATTCAATAATTTCAAAGTAACGACAGTGCAGCTGACAGGATGATTAACTCGTCTTGTTTAATAAGTCTCTGTATCGTCCTTCCTGATTCAGTCTCGTATTTCTTTCCGCTGAAAAATAAAGATTAAAAACTCCCACGCCAAAAAACCGATCTTGACCCCAAGAAAGTGAAAATACAGGAAAAAAGGAATAAATGAACACAGGAAAACAGAAAAGTGTATTGAATGAGACAAGAACAAAACATCCCTATCCTTGGTGTAGTAATCTTTAAAACTCCTTAACAAAGGAATTTTAAAGGTAGTTTAGAAGTCCTTCATTTCTGAAACAGACATGACCACTTTAACGATTCCGACGAGTTCGGTAAAGTAACCATGAAAAGTCGTAAGAGGCCATTTCAAGGAGTAAATTGACTGTTGAAATGGCCATTTCATCAGCTCTCTACATGCAACTATCAGTTCACTAAAGCTGTGAAGTGATTAACTTCAAAGAATTGTGGATTTTCAAGAAGCTTGAGTGGCCAACTTGAAAACGAACACGCGTCCTGAAGTCACCAGTTAAAAGAATCTTTAAGTGGCCACTTTTCAAGTAAAAAAAAAGTCCCCACTTTCGAGATCTATCTAAAGTGGTTACTTCGGGCAGCATCCAACCGGCCTATCTAGGAGCTCTTGGTAGGATCACCTCATGTGCTACTTTTGCTCTTGATTGAGACAACGGACTGAACTGAACATAACCATGAGTAAGAACGCCCTTCCAGACAAGAAATGTATAATTTATATACAAACGTAATGCAGTGGAACTCTTACCTGGACTGATGGTTATTTTTGCAACTTTGCTGGCTTTTCCTTCTAAAATCACCTGTGAAAATGCACAAAAATGTGAAACACAGCTGTACCAGAAGATACAGAGAATACTACTGTTTCGTGGTAAGCAGATGGTTTTTTAGTACACTTCGGGAACTGTTCTTAATGATTTCCTCTCAAGAAATCAGGTGCACAGGAACTTGAAGTACGACTGCTTTCATTTAGTTTAGAAGTCAGCTCGTTCTTTATGCAAAAAGGGAGTAACATCTAATAAAATAACTGGTATACTTACATCGCTGGTTTTAGTTAAAGCTCTTTCATACACAATGTAATTCTCTCCGCTTTCAAGTTTTCCATTTACATAATTGTAAATCAGTGGTACATTTTCTATCTCAGCAGCAATATAAGTTTACATCGTCTTTCTTTGCATCACTGGCAGAGTTCAGTTGTAAACCATAATCACCCGGCAGCTCTTCAACACCTTCAGCGACTTTCAGAACAATGACCTGATAAGCACTGAAATGTTAAAAAAAAAATGCATTTACGTATAACATTCATGTTATTTTTGATTTAATGGATCTAAAATTGGTTCCACACAGAAGACAAAGCTCACCCCTCTAGAGCTCATCTCTCTCAGTGACCTTATATAAAGTTACCACAGGTATAGAGCGTTCACTCAGGACATCTCGTCGCCCTTCTTGAAGCCGGCAACAAAACTTGGAAGCCGCTACTATGAGAGCAATTAATCAATCTTCTGAGACTCTCTGGATGTGCTTTTTGCATTGTATAGAGTTACTGTTGTGTGTCAATTCATAAATGAACCCCTTTAGCTATATGTTTGCCGTTAACTATGAGTCTCGACAAGTGAACGATTTGCCAAACTGCAAGTTACACTTAGTCTTTTGAGTTACCTTATTGGACCATTTTCTTGTTCAACAGGCCACAGATAAATATCAACAGTTGTCTCAGAAACTTCAACATCGGTCATATTAAGTGGTAGTGGAGATCTGGGAGCTAACAAGGAAAATATGTCCTGTATCATTATAAGACTTGCACAGTTGCACTAAGCACATCGTTACCCATTGGTACATACCAATTGGTAACGATGTGCATTAGTTATCCATTTCAACGAAATGTTATGCCAGAAAAATCTACATACTTACCCATGATATCTGTTGTGTTGTAAGCACTTCTGGTTGCAGTTTGTCCACAGTCGGAGGAGCCATAAATATCAAATTTGTATAAAGTGCCTGGAAATAACCCTCCCATTGTATACGTTGTTAAATTTGTTTTCAATTTGGTGCCAACATGTTTGAAGCTTTTATAGTAAGACTCTGTACCGTTGTAACTTACCTAAAAGATTTTAAAGTAAACAGGGCTAGATGTAGTATTCCTTAATATTCGTTTTGAGTACTACCTTTCTTTGCCATTACATGCATCAAGCAGTAACAAAGATTAAAAATCGTTGTGCTAACCTTTCCACACGGCATAACTTATCAGTAAGCTGATGATTAGAGACAGTTCCATTTCGAATCTGAAGGTTTTTTTTTTTCATTTTGGTAAAATACATGGAGTTAAAATATTAAGCTTAGGACACAACTTCACTATTAAAAATATACTTTGCAAGCAAAGCCAGGAATCTGTGATAATCTACTAGCTCTTGAAAATTCACAGCATGAAACAAATTTTGATTGAGGCAAACAATTGTGGATGAAAATACATCAAAGAGTTCCATTTGAAGTCAAAATAACTTAATAACCTTTTTAGAAAAATAGATATAAAAAATTTAATTAAAATCTTCTTAAAGATTGTGCAAATATTACCTACTTTTAAGTTTCCCTACGGAAAACATAACTATGATAGTCCCACTTACAATATAGATAATCGATTCCTTTTTTCCAAATTGTTTCCACTTCAGTGTAACCTGGGTTGTTCCAGAGTCAGTTACTCTAAATTCCCCAGGTGCTTTTGGTCCTTTCAGTGCAATGTTGGAAAAACAAAAAAATTTTTTAGAAGCTTCTTAAACAACTAGAAAGTTTCTGTTAGAATACCTTGGGGTAATAACTCAAGCTTGCAACGACAATATGATAAACCTAACCAAGAAACGTCTACATTTTAAAAATCTGGTCATTAGTTGTAGTTTGCAGTTATAGAAAAATGGAATCTAGACTTAACATGGGGTTGTGGCAGATTGATAACTAATTTAGGGTTTCAACCTGACTTGTATCTCACTCGCCTTGTAACCCAAGAAATCTAACCCGTGTAGAGTTGTTTGGAAAAGTGACAGACACGTAAGAGAAGATTTCATACCTCTGTTCCTCTCATTATTCCTGTCCACCCCTACGCTAGTTTTCCACGGACACACTGAAAGCGTCACATCCAATTTCCAAGTACATGTTATTTGACCAGAAAGTGTCACAAAAGGGTCTACCCTTAGATAATGTGATTTTGAACGTTTAACTCTTCGTTTCTTGAAGCTTACCCTTGTGATCTCAAGACCATGATAATAATCTTAGAAAGATAATTTTAGGAATATTATGACTAATCAAAACCTCCTACAAGACAATCAAGTGGTGCTCATAAAGTGCTGGTCAGTACTGAACTCACTTGTCACCAGTTCCAAAGGTTTCCCATACGGTCCAGGTCCTGCTCCTGTGTAAGCTCGAACAGAAACATCATACTCAGAACAAATCAGGAGGCCAGATAGGACAATAAATGTTGAAGAAGTATTAACAGCGAGGTTGTTGTGAGCAGACCAATTGTAAAAATGTGCTTTCCACAAAAGGTTGGCCTTGACTTCATACAAAATAACTTTTCCATAACTCTTTGCTCTCGGTAGAGGTTCCCATGAAATGTTAAAAGTCGTCTTGTTCACTTGAGAGGTAGAAACAGAGTCTGGGCCAACACTGGGTTCTAAAAAAAAAGATTACAAACAGCACAGCGTAACAAGAGAAAACACCTTTTTAAGCTAGAAGAATTATATTTATAAGATATATAAAGAAGCCTCCTGGTTATTTGAAAACTAGATAAAAATAAACACACCTCCCCCCATCCTTACAAGTTATCAAGGAGAAATGATAACAAATGCGATGGGCTAACTGCCTATAACTATGAAATCACTTGCCCTCTCTCCGTAACGTAATGCTATTACATAAAGAAAAATGCGAATTCAGACTGATGTTGTCCACATTTTCTGTCATTAGTTTTCAACTCCAAACAAATCAAACCCTGAAAAATTTATTGTAAAGATCACATCAGCCAAACCAGAAGACCACTTCCAGGCGGAACCTAATAGCAACAGAAACGTGATAGGCTCCTAACACCCCCTGCCTTTCCAGAGCATTCCCATATCACCTGAATACAAGTGATTTGGTGTGAAGTATGTTCTCTTAATTGTGATTCTAAAACGATCCTCGTACAATATCGAAAATGCGACCCACAAACATCTCCTCATAAAACATCAATTTAAAAGGAATAAAAATCCAAGGAGCACATGAAACGGAACACATCCTGCTTATGGTGTTGCATAATCAGACGCCCTCGTTGCCTGACAAAGAGAAGCGATACGCACTCGAAACGTCGATATGCAGCTCAGAAGTGACTGCATCACGATAATAACCATGCACAACTTAGTTTTACTAAAATTTTATCGTAAATTGAATCAAACGTACCGTACTCTCTAGTAGTTAAATTTATCGTCCCCTTTGGTCCAGGTTTAACAGTCACAGCTCTGACATAGAGCTCATATACAACTCCACCTAACACGTCAACTGTGTAATTTAGTGCATCTATTTTAGAAATCTCTTTTAAGGCATCTCCACTGTGAGTATAAACTAAAGTATAACTCCTGATGATTCCATTTGGTGTAACAGGCTTTGCCCAAGTCAATTTTATTCTTGGACCATATGCCTTGCTTGGCGGCACATCAGTATAGGACAGGAACACAGGTGCACTGGGTGCTGGGGAGGTAAACAGAATATTGAATGTGTACTTTCTTAGGGATTATTTCAAAACCAAACAAATACAGCGTCACCTTAGCAACTAGTAAATCTTGACGAAGGAAACTACCAGAAGTTAACCATTAATGTTTACAGAGCATGGACAAAGAGAAAAGTACGCTAATACAACGAAAAATACAATTGAGTGACAAGGTGATGCAGAGAGAGAGAAAGAGCCTGGTGTCCACATTTGAAAGCCAGCACCGTAAATCAACTGGTAAGATCTCGTACATCACAAAATGATTTGTAGTCTACAATTATGATAGAAGAGTTTTTGTATCCTTAAATACATGCAACTAATAATGTTGTCTTCAAAACGATAGAACCGGCCGCTTCAATTTCTTACCATCTTCCAATGTTCTCTCGACTTCAACACAACTCTTAGGCCCATCA